AATCTTTAAAAAGTCTTTTTTGGGGGGCGGCTGGGTGGCTCAGTCATTAAGCGTCTGCCTTCGGCTCAGGTCGTGATCCCAGGGTCCTGGGATCGAGCCCCGCATCGGGCTCCCTGCTCCACGGGAAGCCTGCTTCTCCCTCTCCCACTCCCCCTGCTTGTGTTCCTGCTCTCGCTGTGTCTCTGTCAAATAAATACATAAAATCTTAAAAAAAAAAAAATATATATAAAAAATCTTTTTTTGTTTTTAAAGATTTTATTTATTTGACAGGGAGAGACACAGTGAGAGAGGGAACACAAGCAGGGGGAGTGGGGAAGGGAGAAGCAGGCTTCCCACAGAGCAGGGAGCCCGACGCGGGGCTCGATCCCAGGACCCTGCGGTCACGACCTGAGCTGAAGGCAGACGCTTAATGACTGAGCCACCCAGGCGCCCCAATCTTTAAGAAAATCTTAAATTGTATACATGAATAAACCAATATATGTAAAATAAAACACTTCTGAGGGAATTTGAGTGACATGTAAGTGACAGTATTTTTAAAGGAACTAACATATCAAATTTAAGTAGGGCTGGAAAATAATAATAGTTAAAATGTTGACAAGAAGTGCTAACAGACCTTCTCTCTCTCTCTCTCTCTCACACACACACACACACACACACACACATTCTCCTGGCTCTGCAATTGCCTTGGTAAGTAACCTAATGACTCTAAACTTATTTTCTCACATATACAATATGTAAAGTCAATGGAACAATAATCAGGGGGAAAAATATCCCTAAAATTCTATCCTCCTTTACAAATATATGACTATAGAGTGATTACAAATAAGTAATGGCGCCTGGGTGGCTCAGTCGGTTGGGCGTCTGACTCTTGATTTCAACTCAGGTCATGATCTCAGGGTCATAAGATCCTGGGCTGGGCGTGGAGCCTCCTTAAGATTCTCTCTCAGGGCACCTGGGTGGCTCAGTCAGTTGGGCGTCGGACTCTTGATTTGGGCTCAGGCCCTGATCTCGGGGTCATAAGATCAGGCCTGTTTTGGGCTCCACCCTGGGCATGAAGCCTGCTTGGAATTCTCTCTCCCTCTCCCTCTGCCCTGACCTCCTCACTCATGCTTGCTCTCTCCCTAAAACAAAACAAAACAAAACAAAACCAAGTAAGTACATTTAGCTAAATTCACCATCCTTATACTCTTAGTTTCCCACCTCAATCCACATCCACCTGCTAACCCTACCTTTGTAACTTGGTTTATACTACTAAATAATAATAATAATAATAATAAATGTTAACATATTATTTAACAGACAAAAAAAGTATAAGGTTCAGCCAATTAAATATTCATCAACCCAAATTATCACACAACTAAAATATGTATTAATTGAATTTCACCTTCTTTCTTTTTTTTTTTAATTTTTTTTTAAAGATTTTATTTATTTATTGGAGAGAGAGTGAGTGAGAGAGAGCATGAGAGGGGGGAGGGTCAGAGGGAGGAGCAGACTCCCTGCCGAGCAGGGAGCCCGATGCGGGACTCGATCCCGGGACTCCAGGATCATGACCTGAGCCGAAGGCAGTTGCTTAACCAACTGAGCCACCCAGGCGCCCGAATTTCACCTTATTTCAAGAGAAAACAAAATCTATGATTTATGGTATCTTTTGTTAACAACTGAGGTACTGGTATCATTAAAAAATTATCAGTTTTTCTTAAGTACATAAAAATAGATAACAAAGAAAACACTTTAGAGAACAGCTTTAGTACTTTTAAGATAATTTTATTTCCAAAGAGTAAACTGAGGGAGGAGCCCCCGGCAAGTTCAATTAGTAGAGCGTGTGACTCGATCTCAGGGTCTTGAGTTCAAGCCCCATGTTAGGCATGGAGTCTATCTAACATAAAAATTTTTTAAAAATTAAGAAAGTAAACTGAGGGAAAATTCAATGTGGACAAAAATAAAAGCCAAAAAAAAAGAAAGAAAAGAAATTCCTGAATGCATAAGCTTTGTTCCCTGTCTCTGAACAGCATTATCTATGAAGCACCTTAAAATTGTACACTGAGGGGCGCCTGGGTGGCTAAGATGGTTAAGCGTCTACCTTCGGCTTAGGTCATGATCCCAGGGTCCTGGGACTGAGTCCCGTATCGGGCTCCCTGCTCAGTGGAGAGCCTGCTTCTCCCTCTCCCTCTGCTGCTCCCTGCTTGTGCTCTCTCGCTCTGTCAAATAAATAAAATCTCAAAAAAAAAAAAAAAAAAGGAACTGTACACTGAATAATGTGTGCTGAATAAATTTCCCTTCCATTGATCCTGAGTGTGACCTTGTGATAGCACTGACAAACTGAATGTGGTGGAAGTGATATTATGTGACTTCCACAGCCAGATCACAAAAGGCAATATGGCTACAGCCTGGCTCCCACTCTCTCTATGGATGCTCACCTTTGGAATACAGCCATTGTGCTGTGAAGAAGCCCAGGGCACATAGACAGATCATATAGGTGTTTAAGCCTCAGCTAAGGTCTCAGGTAATAGTCATATGAGTGAATAAACCTTCAAATGATTCTAGCCTCCAGCCTTTGAGTCTTCTAGCTGAGGTATTTAATGGAAACATGTTTTTAGTGATTGACAATGAACTCAAAGACATGAGAGAAAAAACACACTCCATAGGCTGGCTATAGTAAAATAAATGGTTGTGCCAAAACCACAGTGAAACTGGAACTTCAAACTGAAGCAATGCTAATAGGCTTATCTCAATCCTGTGTCTACAACAGAGAAAGAAAAAAAGGAACTAATGAGGTTGTATCAACTCCTTTATTACATCACTTTCTCCCAGGAAAATATATAGAAAAGGTTTTGATGAGATGAATACCAGATGGAAAAAAAAGCAGACTTTGGCAACAATAAACATGTCATTTCTGGTACAGAAATCTTTCAGGGAAGGGAATGATTCCAAAGCTAAGATGTTACAAATCACTGCATGGTAATCTCCAGAGGAAACTGAGCAGTTCTCCTTCCCAGTGAATAGAGAGATGCTGGTGAAACTAGCAGCTGCCCACAGTGGGTACTTCTGAGACTTAATGGTACTTAGTGGACACAGAGAATACCAGAGATTCAAACTGCCCTCTTAATGTGCAGGCTAGATTACATAATGCTGTACAGATTGTAAACGGCATAACCAGAGAGCCATATGCATAGATTAAAATATGCAGCATCTACACAAAAGTACAAAGCAACTCGGACATTCTGAATGACTTGGGTCCAAATACCGAGAGGAATAAATATACTACTTATCCAACAGTCAATTTCTCATATTGTTCCTCTTAAGTTTGTTGATGACCTGTAGTAATGGTAGAGAAAGTTTCTAGTATCATATAATATTTATCATTCTAGTAGTGATGCACTCAATTGTATTAGAACTGATATTTACATATATATAATAAATAAAAACCCATAAATATATTAAATAGGTCTCTCTAAAAGAGCAATTCGTACACTGCTTACTATATTGAAAAATACAACATTCCATTATTAACTAAAGTGCCCAACAGAAAATATCTTGCTAGATGGGAACCACAGCAAATCCGTCTGCAATATTTTTAAAAAAAATACAAAACTGTAAGTTAAAATGAAAAGTAAATAATAATTAATATTAAGAATTATTATTTAACCCCCCCCAAAAAGAATTTTAATGAGTCAAAAACAGGAAAGGGGCTTATTTTCTTGTATCAATTCCTAAAACATGAGTTTCCATTAACTAAAAATTTTTATGAAGAATTCTCTTCACTGAGTATTATCCCTTGTTGATAACCTATACTACCTATCTATTAACAGATGACAGAATACAAAAAAAAATTAAAGCTTAACATTTTGGAAAAGCACATTAGTTGGGTATGTTAGATAATACCCTTAAAGGTACTACTCTACAGTCCCTTTTCCAATGTGAAATGGCCTGGAGTTTCACTAAAAAAAAGATAAGTTAGCAATCGTGTTATATGGTAATACAGAAAATTTTAAGCTTAAGAAATTGGTAAAAGAAAGAAGATTAGTATTTTATTTTCCCCAACTTTACTGACATAAAATTGACACATGACATTGTGTAAGTTTAAGGTGTACGACAAGGGTGTGTTCCTTGTCTTGGAATGTTCACAGTAATGTGACTGACAAGAGCCCGAAGTATAAAAAATCCAAATATACACCAATAGTAAACTGGACAAGTAAATGGAGACAAAAAAATGATTAAGTAAATTGTGGTGTATTCATACACTAGAGTACTATACAGCAATGAAAATGAACCAACAACTGTTAGCATACCCAGGGTGAAACTCCCAATAATGTTAAGCAAATTAAGATAGATATAAATAGGATGAACAAATATTTGTTGAATAAATATTTCAGACAAGACTCAGATAAGATCAGGACTGTCCTTTATCTTTGTTTAGCAAGTTTTATTCACAGACAATACAAGAAAGATTACAAACAAGATGTATAAATTATTTAGGAGAACAAATTCCTTTCAAGCACCTCAAGCACATTTATAAAAACCACCCACATACTACTGATCTGCTCCACTAATCATAATGCACTGTTCATTTGTCAACTTCTTGAAAGACCCAATTTATTTTTATTTATCTATTTTAATTTAAGTCTCTCCTTTTTTTTTAAAGATTTTATTTATTTGACAGAGAAAGAGATAGCAAGAGCAGGAACACAAGCAGGGGGAGTGGGAGAGGGAGAAGCAGGCCTCCCGTCGAGCAGGGAGCCCGACGTGGGGCTCAATCCCAGGACCCTAGGATCATGGACTTGAGCCAAAGGCAGACACCTAACAACTGAGCTACCCAAGCGCCCCCTGAGACCCAGTTTAAATCAGAACTTATACTAGAAGCTTAAAAACCCATATACTAATAAAAAGACTTTCTTCATTGAATAAGGCTTTTCAAACTATACTACAATTAAACAGTTACAGTTTTAAAATATAATCTAAACTCAGAAATTACTAAAAGAAAAAAGACATAAAATACTTACATTAACTTTGAAAGCTTGTACAGTGTTATCCAGAAGAAGGATGTTGCAAACCACCTCCGTATGCTGTCTGTCTCGGGCCAACTCTGATGCTCGTACATTGTAGGTTCTGCCAGCAGGCAATCGGAAACGCGAGGTCATTACTGTCCACACTCGGTCTAAGTTGAAAAAAACATTCACTAAATAAAAAAATAGTTGAAGATACTTAGCAGTTTAAAACACCAAGGTTATTACATAATCTTCAACTAACACAAGTAAAAAGCAGTTATAACTTTTGAAACACCAATAAAAACTGTAGGTATAAAAAAAAAGATACTGTATATAATTCATCATTTAAACTAAAATTCAAACTGCCTGGAAGAGCTTTATTTTGAACTGTTCCATTGAGAAGAAAATACACAATTGTTCAGGAAGTCATAATCCAATTCAAAATATATAAATTTGGGAATAGCCAAAAAAGGGGTAGGCGAATATGCTACCTTAGGAAGTTGGGACATTACTCACTGATGCAAATATTTAAAAACACTGTAGAACAGCAACAGGAGGGAACACTATTTACCTCTAAAGGACCCTTACCTTTACTAAACTTAAGATTTGGGGGAAACATGGGAGTTTGGTCAATTTTTTTAAATACAATAATACTCTTTATTTTAATTATCCTCAAATTTAAATGAATTCTAATAGGATTATTCTTATTATTCTCAAGAAAACAAAAACAAAATAGAAAACATAAGGCTACAGATCTTTGCTTCTCAATTTTTAACCTAAGAGGGAAAAAATGACATTGCCTATAAAATCTGAACAGATAATACACTGATATCAGCAATACCTGAAGTTAAAAGGCAATGAATAGGGGGGGTAGGGAGGGGGAGGGTGGAAAAGGCAATGAAGATGTAGCTTTGAAGTTCTGAAAATTATATGAAAAACAGAATTACATACCAAAAAAATTAGCATTCATATGGGAGAATAAAGCTAAAGATATTTTCAGACATTCAAGGATTCAAAGTTTAAAATCCACAAAACTTCCCTCTTAAAGACAATTAAAGAGAGGAAATAAAATATATTAGAAACACAAGTATACAGAACTTTTAAATAAGTAGTAAGAAATTTGAATAATGAGTAAGCAAAAAATAATAAAAAGAAACACCAGTTCAAATCAGTGGTATTCAGTAACTGCAGCTGACATCACAGACTGTTCATGTCAAAAAGATTAAAGCTATAAGTAAAAGTCAGTGCTACACAAGTATGAGAATTGTATAAGGAAAACAGCTTTAGCAGTTGACAAAGAGGGGCTAGCCAAGTAAGACTCACCAATTAAAAGACAGGGATTGGTGGTTTCTGGTTCCACATGTTAAGAGCTTGCAAGTCTCCACTCCACTTTAACAAGTAAAAAGTAGAACAGACTGGAAAATCACCAAGGCTGCTTGGATTCATGAGAGAGAGAAGACAAAGGGCAAACCGCTGCCCCCAAGACTGAAGAGACAGGCCAATACATAGGGTCTCAAGGAGAGACTCACAAACAGAAACCACCAGGGGAGCCAGTACACGATTAGGAAAATCTGAACTGTAACTGGCGAATTGCAGGAGGCTCAATGTGGACAATGCTGAAAGTTAAAAACTCCAGGGGGCCCAGTCATAGGAGGACTCCCACAATATGGAATCCAACTAGATTCCCACAGTAAATATGGAGAAAAGTAGCCTTAAGCCGGGGATGAACATTTCACACACACACACACACCAAGACAATTATTGAATATACCAGAGCACTCTGTTTTTTTTTTTAAGATTTTATTTATTTATTTGACAGAGACAGCGAGAGCAGGAACATAAGCGGGGGGGTGGGAGAGGGAGAAGCAGGCTTCCCGCTGAGCAGGGAGCCCGATGTGGGGCTCGATCCCAGGACCCTGGGATCATAACCTGAGCCGAAGGCAGACGCTTAACGACTGAGCCACCCAGGCGCCCAGCACTCTGTTCTTCTTAACAACACCTGCCCTTAGGAGAAATTAGTTAACCAAAACCTGGGGCAAAGAAAATACTCAACTCCAGCTGACTCTAGCCTTCCAGTGGGAGAATGGAAATAACCAACTCCAGACCACTTTAGCCATCCTGTCCCATCTAAAAGGGGGAAAAAACCTGAGAAACCCTGTGACATTCATAGTCCAGAGGCATAGGTTCACTAAAACATTGAGGCTTAACCAGAGGATTACAGAACGCTTTTCCTCCCTACACTACTAAAGGCCTATTTACATCAGTTCCTCTTAACACAACATCATGCCTGCCTATCAAGAAAAATTTACAGGGGTGCCTGGCCGACTGTCAGTAGAGCATGAGACTCTTGATCTCAGTGTTGTAAGTTCGAGTCCCACACTGGGTATAGAGGTTACTTAAAAATAAAATCTTAAAAAAAAAAAAAATTAGACGGCATACTAAAAAAGGCAAAAAAGCACAATTTGAAAGAAAAAGCAAGCATCAGAACCAGACATGAAAGGGATGTTGGAATTATCACACACAATTTAAAACAACTGTGATCAATATGCTAATGCTCTAATGGACATTGTAGACAGCATGCAGGAACAGATGGGCAATGTGAGCACAGAAATGGAAATCTGAAGAAAGAACCAAAAAGAAATGTTACAGGTAAAGAACACTGTAAGACATGAAGAATGCTTTCTGATAGACATGTATTGGGCACAACAGAGGGAAGAATCTCTGAGCTAGAGGATATATCAAGAGAATCGTCAAAAATCGAAAAGCAAAAGGAACAAAGACCGAAAAAAAACAAAAACAAAAAAACCAGAACACCTAAACTCTGTGGGACAAAAAAAGGTGTAAAATAGACATATGAAAAGAATAGAGGGGAAGAAAAGAAAATATATTTGAAACTATCAATAATGACTGAGAGTTTCCCCAAATTAATGTCAGACATCAAACCACAGATCCAAAAAGCTCCAAGAACACCAAGAAGGAAAAATGTCCAAAAAACCTACCTATACCTAAGCATATCACTTTAAAACTACAAATCAAAGATTTAAAAATCCTGAAAGAAGTCAGAGGAAAAAACAGCTTACTTATTGAGGAGCAAATATAAGAATACATAGGACTACTTAAGCATGCAAACAAGAAGAAAGTAAAGTGAAATATTTAAAATGTTGAGGGGAAAAAAAACCCTAGAGACCTAGAATTCTATATCCTACAAATCGTCTTTCAAAAGAGAAAGAAATAAACAGTTTCTCAGACAAAAAAATGGGGGGAAGGATTTGTTGGCAGTGCACCAGCCTTGCAAGATATTTTAAAAGAAGTTCTTTAGAGGGAAGTAAAATAATAGACATCAAAACTCAGATCTACATAAAGAAAAGTATCAAAGAAGGAATAGACATGATGTGATGAGCAGTGGGTGTTATACATAACTAATGAATCATTGAACACTACACACCTTAAACTAATGATGTACTATATGTTGACTAACTGAACTTAACAAAAAAAAATGTTAAAAAGAAGGAATAGGTGAATGTTATTTTAAAACTTTTATTTTTCTTATCCTTAACTAATCAAACAGATAACAGTACAATACCCTCTACTTCAGTGTGGCAAAGACTTAAGAAATTTGATGAGATTTTTCCTTCCACAATTAGGTGAAGGGTGAGGATTTTGCAGATGTGATTAAAGTCCTAAGTCAACTGAGTAAATCAAAATAAAGAGTACCCTTGGTGGGCCTGACTTAGGTGGAAGCCCTTAAAAAATTGGGAACTTCCTGAAGTAAAAGAAATTCTACTGCTGGCTTTAAAGACATGGTCTGCCATGTTAGGAAATGACCTGTGAAAGGGGCCTCTAGGAGCTGAGAGCCAGCGAAAAACTAAAGACCTCAGCCCTACATTTGATTGTATTCATCAATAATCACATGAGCTTGGAAAAGAACCCAGGCTCCCAAAGTTTGGTCAACATCTAGACTGCAACTATGTGAGATGCAACCAAGCTGCATCCATCCTCCTGACCCACAGAAACTGGAAGAAAATAAATGTGTTGTTTTAAACTGCCAAATTTGAGGTTATTCATTACACATCAATAGAAAACTAATACACATTTCACAATGGTACTATCAATCAAGAAATATTCACCAGAGATAGAAAATATGAAACAATGAGGCACCTGGGTTAAGCATCTGACTCTTGATCTCAGCTCAGGGCTTGATCTCAGGATCATGAGTTCAAGCCCTGCACTGAGCTCCACACTGGGCATGGAGCTTACTTAAAAAAAAAAAAAAAAAAGCAAAAAACAGAAAGAATCTTCAAATAGAACTATTATAAAGACTATAAACTTACTGATTAAAAGCATTAAAAATATAAATGGATTTTCTCTAATACAAAGACTTATTGTAAAGCCAAAAAGAAAAAAGAAAACACGAAGCAACACACAATCATCTCTTTGTGCATGTTCCACTCTTGCTTCTAATGGATATATGTATTTCTCTTCTCCCCAACCCTGCCTTCCCTTCACCTGGGGTGAATGGTCCAGATAAAGAAAGTGGGCAAAGACCTAAGAAATTCATAAATAACAGCAGAATCAGCAAATTAGTTTTAGCAGTAGGGGGAGCTACCAAAAAAAGAACACTGGTTGATGTTACAAAGGTATCCCAATGTCAAAGAGTGGTACAGGAATGACAAGATACCAAAGATATTCTGCCAAAATCAGTCTTCCCCATTTACTGGCACATTTACTTCTGACATTTGCACTTGAACCTAGATTAATGGTTTAATTGAAATTTTTCTTTTTTCCTTTTTTTGTTTCAATGAAATTTCTATGTAACTCACCCAGATACTTTCATATGAGATTCTTCCACAGTCTTGAAAATTATCTACCTTAAAGATACATACCACTTGACAAATGGCACAATTATGCCAGTGACAACCTAATTGCCCATAAGTGATAAGAAATAAGATAATAAGCCAAATAAGTCTAGTCAGAATTTCCAATACATCTTGAAAACACACTCCTGAAAGGTTATGAGCATCTTAATATATGACATCTGGCTGGCAGATAAGTGTCTGCTTTTCTCAGAAGAGACACCTTTTCCTAGAGCACTTCAAACTTTTTCTATTCACTTACGAGAGCAAAATATTCTTTTAGAGATGCTAAGAGAACATAACTGTTTAAAGTCCCA